TCTATCAGATCCTCATGAGGGACAGTGACATTCCTTTCACTGCGGTCAGCACACCAAGCGAGGTGCTTTGAAAGTGGTGATTCATGCCACAGGATCTTAAGAACGCTTCAGCTACGTTCAATCGGATGGTGACACAAGTACTTCGTCCACTTCGCGACTTTGCACCGAGCTACTTTGACGACATTATTGTTCACAGCCGCGCTGATCAAAAGCTCAGCGCTATGGAGGTACACCTTCGACACTTGAAGCGGGTGTTTCAAGTTATGCGCGAGAAAAAATTGTATGCGAATTTGAAGAAATGTGTCTTCTGCGCTCCCGAGATTCCAGTACTCGGTTGCTACGTCAGCAAGGAAGGTGTCCGCGCTGATCCTGAGAAGATCTCATCGATCTGTTCCTGGCCAACGCCCAGGAACCAAACTGAATTACGTCAATGGCTCGGTCTGGCGAATTACTTGCATAAGTATACAAATAACTATGCTGAGCTAATTCAGCCATTATCGACTTTGCTCAAGAAAGATGCAGTATGGTTATGGACGGCAGAACATCAATCTTCCTTCGACTCCGTAAAGAAGAGCTTGTCCGAGGCACCGGTGCTGATGTTACCTGATGACTCTAAGCCATTCCACGTCGTGTGTGACGCGATCAATTTCGCTATAGGATGTGCCCTCATGCAATTTGATGGAGAGGGTCGAGAGCGCGTCGTGAGTTTTCAATCACGACAGATGAAACCTGCCGAGAAAAAATATCCGGTACACGACCAAGGAACTTTTGGCTATGCGTTACGCGCTAATCAAGTTTAGAGTATATTTGCTCGGCGAAAAGATGTTTTCTATCTACACAGATCACGCATCATCGCGTACCGCCGTCAAGAGTCCTCACTTGTCCCATCGTATGGCACGGTGGTTGTCATTTTTTGCCAAGTATAATTTTGTGGTACATTACAAGCCTGGCAAGAATAACATTCTTGTTGACGCGATTTCTCGCCGTCCTGATTAGGATCCTCGGCGCGACATGGTTCATCAAACGGAGAATATTGATGACGACGAAGAAATCTGTGCGTATTGTAATGAGCTGGGGCTCAACGCGATGATTTCGACCCCCGTGCTGTCGATCCGAACTCAGATCGCTGAATCCTACGCGAATTATTCCTTCTATCAACTCTCTCAGGGACCCGAGAGAAATTTCACTCGCGAAGTTGATAAAACCAACACGCGATAACATTAAGCGTTACGGCTCCGTTGCTGACATACACGTTGGACGTCTTTGATCCACCGCGTGTCGTCATCCGTTGATGAAAACCTCAGAGCCCGTTTGGTTCATCAATTTCACAACAGTCCAGCTGGTGGTCACTTGAGACGCCAAAGACGTTTGCGGCTACTTCTCGCGTGTTTTTCTGGCCGCGAATGTATAATTAGATTCAGAAATGGGTGCGCTCCTGTGAAACCTGAAGCCTGCGCCGTCTTTACAAGCCCCATTGCGTCCTCTTCCGATTGCTACGGAAGACTGGCGCTCGGTCAGCATGGATTTTATCGCTGGACTTCCAATGGATGAAAAGAAACGCACGGGCGTATTGGTACTAATGGATCGGTTCAGCAAAATGGTGCATTTTGCTCCGGTCTCCGCCAACATTACGGCGGAGACGACAGCGAAGATCTTCATTGATCTTATCTTTAGGCATCACGGCTTGCCAGAATCTATTGTTTCGGACCGTGACCCGCGTTTCACTTCGGCTTTCTGGGCCGAATTATTCCAGCTATTAGGCACGCGGTTGCTTATGTCTACGGCGGCCCATCCAGAGACGGATGGGCAAACGGAGCGTGTGAGCAGAGTGCTCTAAGATGTCTTGCTCAGTTATGCAACATTGTTCTCGTCATGGAGTTCGTTTCTTCCACTTGCAGAGTATGCAGTCAACAATGCAGTCCATGCGTCGACCGGGTTGACGCCCTTTTTCGTTAACAACGCGAGGAATCCTCGCGTTCCGGCGCTACTTTCTCTCTCAGCTTTAGAGCACCTAGTCTTAAAGCTTGGTTGGGGAGTATATACTGATGCAATTGCGCGAAACTATTGATAAAATTGATTACGATGAGGATAAGGTAGATGCCGATGCAACCAATGCTGGTAATTTTGTGGCCAACGGCATATCGACCCTTGAAGCGATGCATTCCCATCGCGTCTCCCGTTGCTAGTTTTACTCCTATAGAGGACTCGTCGCCTGTAAGTTTGGCTGCAGTAATTGAATTTCTGCTATTGCGACAAGGAATCACGCATTTTGTGCGTGATGCGTTACAAGAGGCAGTCAAAGAGAACGCAGACAAACGAGGTCGAAAGAATAGGTTGACATTTCGAGAAGGTGACAGAGTATTATTATTAACAAGTGGATTACCAAACAGTTCAGTGACAATTTGGGGCGCTTCTAAGTTATTGTCAAGATATATTGGTCCATTACGGGTTGTTAAGGTGCATGGTGACGCTTACACGCTAGACATACCTACATCTATGCGTTCGCACCCGACGTTCTACGTCGGGTGCCTCAAGACTTACCTTCCGGCGGGAGTCCCTTGGAATATTCCTCGCTCTTCTGTGCCGGCTCAAAAACCTACATTCCTTGACGACGACGCTGACGATGACTGGGTCCAAGTCCTGATCAAACGAGTGCAGACTCGATCTGCTGAAATTCTCCGAACGAAGTCGTCTCAAGTCGGCGTAGGCGCTCAACTAACACCCGCTGCTCTCATCGAGTCCACTCAGCAGTCTCAGTTGTAACAGTCGCACGATCGCGAACACTCTCCGCCATCCAGAGAAAATCAAGCAGGGCGCTCTTCGACACTTCGACGTTAGCGCGAAGAAGACGCATCTCGCCGTTCGATTGTACAAAAGTCCGATTGTGCGAACTGGCGCTCACCGCCACAGATCTTTCGTCGTGATGCTCCTCCTCCCTTAATTTATTCATCGGGTGCGCGACGCTGGATTTTCGACCGAATTGTCGATCACGAGGATCATAAGTTCTATGCGCCGAGTAGTGACTCGGCGCCCACGAAGAATCATCTCGAGAAACATTACAGGGTTCGCTGGTTGGAATTTTCGCCGGCTGACAATACAAGGGAACCTTGAAGTATGCTGGCTCAGGATGTACCAGACGTGGTCGGGGATGATACGACGCATATAAAGACGGCGATTGCGAGCGATGATGCCGATTCCAGCCCCAATCTCGCTAGCCAAGATGCTCGCGAGCAACAGAAATACGACGACGAGTCCCCGAGCGATTCCGAGATTTTTTATGAAGCTCGGGAAAACATGGATGGTATTTGCGACTATGTGAAATGCCATAGCGAATCGAATCTGGCGCACTTTGGGATCGATGAGCGACATCACGATCAAGAAACCAGTGGTAAACCACTGCACCAACGAAATGCTAGCGAGTGAAAAGTCTCGTTATGGCTTCAGACAATTCTGGATGATTTGCGCCGATAAATTGTATAGCTTTCACGGTATCAAGTGTGAATCTGTAACTCACGGTGTCTGCTTCCTGCAGATCGTACGGTTGTTGTCGTCAGATATATCCTTGCGCGCGCGTCCAGGGTCATGTTTATCATTTGTGTGTCACTGAGCAGGTTCGAGGTTATGTCGCTGGATTTTCGATATAATAATCATTTTTATGTTATTTGCCTACGTTGTAGTAAGCACAACTTAAAAAGGGGGATGATGTAATGGGCAACCTATTACATAAGTAGTTATAGAAATTATACATAATTACATTAGTAGGCATAGGGCAATGTCTAATTAGCGGATACTGCGCGTCTTTGTAGTATTGGTTTAATATTGGGGTGCTAGACCCAATAAATTGCGACATTAATTTGACTTCCATTTGATTGGTTCTGTGGCGAGGTGAAAGAATGATTTTTGCAACTTGAGATCGCGCATTTTCGGTTATAAACGAGATAAGTAAATGGATGGATCGCAATTCAGTTAAAGAAGTTCTCGAGGAGTTACCAATGGAATGTACAACAGTGAATGGTGGTGCTCGCAGTTCTTTGTTGGATTAATTACGGACTAGAGCAACGAAACTGCGATCCCGTTTTTTTTAAATGGCGATCCACGTGAGCGCGATCGCTAAGATGGAGACTTAGTATGTTCAAGTATGTGAAACACGGTCTGGTGTATGCTACATCACGCTGGAAGACTGTACTTATGTGGACATGGCATATCATATAGATGAACTATTTCCCCTAATTCGGTGAACTGGGAAGATGTAACGGGGCTAGAACGTACCGTCACTAGCTTACACGTGCGCTTGAGGAAGACTCAATCCTAAGTAATAGGTATTAAGTAAATTTAACTCTAGTTTTAACTTTGTTTTAATTCGTACTAATTACGAAGATTTTAGTACGACAGTGTTCCCGCCTTTCGGGAACCACACAATTTCAGGTTGATTTATCATTGGTCCATATTGGGACTTTAGGCCCCAATAATAAATTGCCACGCTGTGCCCGCTATTCGGGCCCAGCACCTGCCTACATATGTGATTGTTGTAACGGGGATAGAACGTACCGTCACTAGCTTACACGCGCGCTTGAGGAAGACTCAAGTTTAAGTATTAGGTATTAAGTAAATTAACTCTGATTTTTATTTTAATTTTAATTCGTACTAATTACGAAGATTTTAGTCGTAATAAATACGACAGTGTTCCCGCCTTTCGGGAACCACACAATTCCAGGTTAATTTATCATTGGTCCATATTGGGACTTTAGGCCCCAATAATAAATTGCCACGCTGTGCCCGCTATTCGGGCCCAGCACCTGTCTACATATGTAATTGTTTATTTGTGTTAACTATGTGTGTAATGTAGCCCATTACATCACCCCCTTCTCATGACAGCACTCGCCAAGTGCTCAACTGTCGAAACTCCATCGCTCACAAACGAAAAAGCAATGTCCGAAGACCCAACACCCAATCCAGCAGCACTTCCCAACACCATCAGCGGGAGTGCAACAACCAGCATCATGGCGCGTAAACTCATACCTTGGTCACTGTACGACTTGTCCGGAGCTCACGCTCTGGACTCACTGGACACGATGCGGGACTACTTCCGCCGATTTCGAAAACTGCGCGGGAAAGGTCTTGACGGAATCGAGTATGAAGCTTTACAAAGTTCTTGGTGTGCCTTCATCCAACGTTGGAATCGGATGCTCGACGATGGTAGCAGCTTCCAATTATGGCTCGCCAATCGAGAGGAGCTTCGCGCCGATCACTCCATCGGCGCGCTACGCGAAAGAGTGTGTGAGGATGCTTGGAATGAGTACCGCCTCTGCTTCGTCCATGATAATGAAGGATGCTGGTATTGTGATTCGACTCCACGCCCAACTCATGACGAATGGCGACAACACATCGCTGAGTGTCCACTCAGTGATCGCGAACGAAGTTGGATTGCAAAGTATGAGCGAAGTCTGAGCGAACTTAGAAGCTCAGTTATTCGTGGTGCGCCTACCACTCGCGACAGCGGATTCAATCTCCGCGGAATAATCAGCGCAGGGCAGCGACACGTTCGCCTGCCCGTCCTGCTGCGCGATTCTCGCCTCGCAATCGTGATAATATGCATTCACCACGACGTTCTCGTTCACGGCATCGTTCTCTTTCACGGCATCGTTCTCTTTATCGTCATCAATCTCGTTCTCGACGACGTGGATCTCCTTACCAATCTCGTCTGTCACGAGAGCGTTCGCGTGCTCGCCCGCATTGTAATAGCCCGACTTCGTGGCTTCATACGACAGAACCACATCTGGAAAGTCACGAAGGAGCGAGGAACGTGGTTCCCATGTATCCTGCTCGGGAGGGAATCCAAGCCAACGTACTCGGTACCTGCGCACGGATGCGTTGGAGGTTCCTCGTGACCCACAATGTGGTCTACAATCCAGCGCACCTGTCCCTCCGCATCAACAAGCGGAGGAGAGCCCTCGCGATGGTAATGCTGGCGTCCTGGTTGCCCAGGACGATGTTGATCAGGTCGTGAACAGAGCTGCCGATGCTCAGCTGGAGGCTGAGGCTGCCAATGAACGTGCTGCCCAGTCGAAGAAGACTGCGAGTGAGAACCGACAGTCAAAACGTGAGCTGCTCGAACGGATAAGTGTTTTGGAGCGCCAGGTGCTTAATCATGTGCAGACGGCATCGCGGCCGCGCCCCATGTCATCGGCTCGTCGAGAACGACGGGAAGGCCGATCGACTTACGGACCTTTGAAGCCGGCATCGGAGTTAAGCCGTGAAGCGTAGACGGAAGATATTCCTTCAGCCGCCCGACATAGAATGTAGGGTGGAGTTGCAATGAAGAGGAGACATCGAGTGTATAAGTGTCGCCGATTGCCTTAAGAACCTTGAATGGATCGATAAAGCGTGGCGCGAGTCTACTCGCGCCCAGGTTAGTGACCGCTGAATCCCTTAAACCTTCCGTAGATAATAATACACGGTCACCTTTCTCAAACTTGCTCATGTTCTTTCTGCCATGTTTGTCAGCGTTCTCTTTCTGTTGATCTACCGCAGATTGTAGTGCGTCGCGTACAAACCGGGTGATGGCTTGACGTTGGAGTATAAATTCCGACACAGCCATGTCATCAGTTGGTTGCGGCGACTCAATCGGCGCGTAGTTGACAGTAGGTGAACGCTTACCCGAAGATGAGTCAATCAATGTCTGCGCGGTCCATCGAGCTAATGGGGACGCCACGTCTGGTGGCGTCAAAGTAGACGTCTTTGCCTTGGATCGGGTTACTACATTCGCGCTCAAAATATCGTGAGCTGCACTCGATCCTTGTTTATCACCTTTATTTCCCACCCTAGTGGAGCCACTAGGTGTTGTGGGTCGCCCCACGGTTAGGAGAGTAGGAACACGAGGGTGACGAGCCGAATTCACAAAAAAATGGCGTCAACCCTGTTGACGCGTGTACGGCGTTGTTGAGTGCAAACTCAGCGAGTGGTAACAATGCACTCCAACTTGTGAATGACGTAGCGTAACTTCGAAGAACGTCTTCGAGGACCCGGTTCACGCGCTAGGTCTGCCCATCCATTTCCGGATGGGCCGCAGTCGACATCAGCAGTATTGTCCCGAGGAGCTCGAAAAGTGACGTTTAAAATGCGGACGTAATCGCGGATCACGGTCCGAAACAATGTTCTCTGGAAGTCCATGATGACGGAACACCGCGTCGATGAAGTGCGCCGCAGTCTCTGCCGCGGTGATCTTAGCGTGAACAGGCACGAGATGTGTCATATTACTGAATCTGTCAGCAAAAACCACGATGCCCGTTCGAGCTTGACTATCGGACGCAAGCCCGAAGATGAAGTCCATCGAAACTGATCTCCAGGCCTCTGATGCAATTGGCAACGATCGTAAGGGAGCCTGTGAGGATGGAGGTGGCTTCACACGCTGGCATATTTCGCACGTTCGGATCCAGTTGCGTACCCACTTATACATATGGTGCCAGAAGAAGTCTCGAGAAACAGCCGCGAAAGTCTTTTCGAGGCCTAAATGGCCGCCAGCAGGAGCATCGTGATACTCGTGGATGATTCTTGCACGCAAATCCATGTCATTGGCAATCACCGTGCGAGGAGCATCGAATTGATCGATTCTATACAGAAGCAAATCACCGTCTAAACTGTATCGATGAATATGGTCGCGCTTGGTTCGGGATAAGGCTCCCAGTGCAGCATCGCTGGGAGCACGCAGATACTCGATAATGTCTGCATAATCTGAATCGCCCTTGTAAGCTGCGAAGATCTCATCAAATAAACACGGCTCGGGTGTAACCCGAGTTAAGTTCAGCGATACACACATTGCACATCGGTCATCATCGTCCTCGTCATCAGTAGCCTGGCGACTCAGAGCAGTCCGAGGATCGTAGTCGGGACGTCGTGACAAGGCGTCAGCGAGAATATTGGTCTTGCCTGGCTTGTAATGCACGACGAAGTTGTACTCAGAGAAGAATGAGAGCCATCGTGCCATCCGTTGGGACAGGTGTGGGCTCTTCATCGCTGTGCGCAGCGATGCATGATCGGTGTACAAAGCAAATGTACGTTCATCAAGGAGATGCACGCGAAACTTGATGAGTGCATAGCGCATCGCTAATAACTCCTTGTCGTGAACCGGATAGTTCTTCTCAGCTGGCTTCATCTATCGCGACTGATAACTCACGACTCGCTCACGGCCCTCATCATCGAATTGCATGAGGGCACAACCGATTGCAAAATCACTGGCGTCGCAAACCACGTGGAACGGCTTGGAATCGTCTGGTAGGACCAGGACTGGCGCTGACGCTAGGCTCTTCTTTACTGCTTCGAAGGCTGCTTGGTGCTCGGGACGTCACAACCACGTGGCGTCTTTCTTCAAGAGTGACGACAAAAGCTGGATAGAACCAGCATAATTCTTCGTATACTTGCGTTAATAATTAGCCAAGCCGAGCCACTGGCGCAGCTCCGTAGGGTTCTTGGATGTGGGCCAAGAACAGATGGACGACACTTTCTCTGGATCAGCTCGAGCTCCCGATTTACTCACATACCAACCCAACGCCGGAATCTCCGGTGCACAAAAGACACGCTTCTTGAGATTTGTTGTCCCGCATTACTTGAAACACTTGCTTCAGGTGTGAAGGTGAACTTGGACATCGTTGTGGTTGCCCTCGGCGCGACTTTGAACGAAAATGTCGTCAAAATTACTTGGAGCAAAGTTCCGAAGGGGTCGCAACACTTGAGATACCATGCGATTGAAAGTGGCTGGATCGTTCTTCAACCCTTGTGTCATAACCAGCCACTCCCATAACATGCCACTCGGGGTGCTAACCGCGATGAGTGGGATATCACTCGGTCGCATCAAAAGCTGGTAAAAGCCATCGGTCAAGTCGATGGCACTGAAGATGACACTTCCTGACATGGAATTCAGCACCATGTCCTTCCTGGGAATTGGCGTTTGCGCAGGAATAGTGGCATCATTCGACTTATTCAACGCATGCACTATCCGCCAGCCTCCCGTAGCCTTCTTCACGCAGAAGGTTGGACTCGAATGTGATGAGATACTTTCACGCACATGACCCGCTTTGCGACGGCCTTCGAAGAATGCGTCAATAGCTTTGACTTGATCTCGAGGCAACGGCCACTGCCGTGTCACACAATACTTCGACCCTGGTACGAGATCAATCTCGTGCGGAACACCACGGTCCGCAGGAAGTTCAGCCGGGATCTTGTCCGGGAACACGTCTGCATACTCACGAGCAATGTCGTAGACGGGGTTACCAGACTCTCGCAGGGCCTCCCATGACTGTGATGCAAACCTTTCTTCACGCGCAGACTTCGGCTCAGCGCTTCGAGGACGCGCCATATGCTCCTCGTTTGCCACAGTAACCACCTTGTTGGTGATTAGACACAGTGCCTCCCTTAAGGTCACGTAGGAAATGTTTCCAGGAAAGCCCTGGAAGACTTGTAATGGAAGACGCATTACGAGGAGGACTCTCGACTTCGATATATTGGAGCCTTTGTGGACTCCCTTACACGTACACGATAGCGTGGACACATTCCAACGCTAAATTCTCGGTGCTGTTGTCCCCATCGTGCTTCGAGTCACTACTCGAAGCTGGCGAACCGCAGTCAGGTGATAAACCATCACCCCCCTCTACGCACTGGATGTCTTCATCCACGATGCCGGAAACACTGGACGGGAGTACCCCAAACTCGACCGTCGACACTTGATGCGGGAGCTCCTGCTCGGCCGCCGTAAACCCGTGTGGGAGCCCCTGCTCAACCACAATATGCCCATGTGGGAACCTCGGTTCGACCACAGTGGGTGATGATGGGAACCCCGGTTCGACCATCATGCTCTCGCGTGGGGACTCCTGTCCGTCCACGTTGTACTCGTGTGGGAGCCCCTGCTCGACCACAATATGCCCATGTGGGAACCTCGGTTCGACCACAGTGGGTGATGATGGGAACCCCGGTTCGACCATCATGCTCTCGCGTGAGGACTCCTGTCCGTCCACATCACACTCGTTGGCGAGCTCTTGCTCTTCGTCACAATGCCCTTGTGGGAGCCCCTGCTCGACCACGATAGGTGCAGGTGGGAGCCCGGTTCAACCAATGCATTCACGTGCGGGAACCCCTGTTCAACCGCATTAATGACGCGCGGGAACCCCTGCTCGACCGCGTCGTCCTCGTCGTCCTCTTCGCTCTGTAGCGAGGAGTCACTCCCGAAGAACAGCACAAGCAGTGCAGAGAGGGCCATCGCTCGCTCTTTGTACCGCCAGCGTTGTGGAATCACGATCCACGACTGTGACGTTCGGCCAGTCACTTGGAGATACCAAGAGATGGGTAAACACTTCACTGACATCGAACTTGCGTCGACGTCTCACTGATCTGGCTAACCAGTCGATCTGGGGCTTATAACGTGCCAACCATGGCATGCCCAGTATGCAATCGAATGCATAATTCATCGCGATCACCAAGAAATCATCATTACTGCGAAAACCATCAAACGTGTACGGCAACAACACTTTGCGCCGCGATACGAGGTGTGGTTTCCCGTCAGCTAACTTGAAGACGACCTGGCCAGGTCCCTCACGGACCTGAATGCTGGGAGGAAGCATCGATAAACTAGATATACGAAAGAAATTATTCGTTGCTCCTGAGTTCAGGAGTGCTCGCAGAGGTCGCCGGACGCCGGCGACATGTAAGCTGACATTAATCAGACGTAAATCACCACTCGTAGTGGTGGCATTTAACCGTGCGCGTAGCGCAGGAGTACTGGAAGGTTGGGCTGCCACCGATGGACCTGGACCTCCGTTCCATCGAGTAGGGCGCCCTGCACCTACTGGTCCTGACCGTTTTCTTGGACGTGTGGCCGGTACAGCACCCTCATGATGGACATCCACTACTTGCACCGATATCGGTGCTAGCGCACGGCACTCAGCCGCGCGATGTCCTGGCTTGCGACAACGAAAGCAAACCATTTGACGCCCGGCGAGAGCGTCACCCTTATGGGAAATGACACGTCGTCGGTAACCCGACGACTCAATCACGTCGATCTCCATAGGTTCTGGGCCAGAAGGCCGGGGAACGGTGACGATTGAGGGTTTGGCATATGCCTTTGTGACCCTAAGTCTTCACGGAGTGCGATGGCAAATGCCTCCTCCATTGTGGCAGGATCGGCGCGCTCCAGCGATAAGCGGTTCTGCCCCTCACGCATACCATCCACAAAGACATTCACCTGCGTGTACATGTCCATGGGGTGCGTGATAATACACGACGCCAGATGCCTAGCCATCTGCACGTAGTCACGCATCGCCATTTTACCCTGTCGCATAGACATGAATCTTGATCGCACCAGTTTCTCCTCTTGCGGTGGATCGAAAGCAAGAAGAAGATCGTCCTGGATGGTATCCAGGGTGGGAAATGCGTGCTCGTTCACAACGAGCTTACCAAGGGCCCACTCCTTGGCCTTCCCGGTGAGGCGGGAAAGAAGAAAGTTGACCTTCGCCTGGGGTGCCTCAAGAAGTCTCGAGGCGATGGCGATATAAACTTCTCGGAACCACCGGTTCAGCGATAACCGGTCCTTACCTTCTCCAGAGTAGGAGGAGGTTTCCATCTTCACGGCCTCATTACGTGTAGGGCGCGAGGGAGTTAAGCCTCGCCGGTTGGATTCGGCGAGTTCGCGTGCCATAAACTCATATATGGCGAGATGTTGCGCGTCAGGGGTCGCTGATCTCATCAGCGACGCGACGAATGCCTCTCCCGATATCGCCGCGAGGCGATTAAGGGCATCCCCCTCAACACCAGTAAGATGGGGGAAGGTCGCGTGCTCCAGAAATAAATCTGGATCATTTAAGTACGACGATTCGCTCATCCCAAACTCGGGCAAAGGAAGGACTACAAAGTGCTACCAGGTGTTACGGGGCTAGAAAGTACCATCACTAGCTTACACGCGCGCTTGAGGAAGACTCAAGCCTAAGTATTAGGTATTAAGTAAATTTAACTCTGATTTTTATTTTAATTTTAATTCGTACTAATTACGAAGATTTTAGTCGTAATAAATACGACAGTGTTCCCGCCTTTCGGGAACCACACAATTCCAGGTTAATTTATCATTGGTCCATATTGGGACTTTAGGCCCCAATAATAAATTGCCACGCTGTGCCCGCTATTCGGGCCCAGCACCTGTCTACATATGAAAATGTTTATTTGTGTTAACTATGTGTGTAATGTAGCCCATTACAGAAGATGACAGTGCCGAGCCATTATCCGGCGGATCGCGATCCGATACTAACTATAAGTATCGCGATCCGAATCTATTATCGTATTAGATTCGATCGAGGCAGCGATCCAGATCGCGGTAATATTAGGATAAACCACATGAAAAGATTTAATTTTTTCGAAAGAATGAAACGTGTCAATAGATCCTGACCTACAGATAGGCAGAATCGTAGATTTTGGTATTTTATTATTAAAATTAGAAAGATTTAATTATTAAAAGGAACACGTGTTAGCTTCTTATCCGGGTTGGATTCTTTGGCACCTGACGTCACGAGATGCTCGACCCCCCCTCTCAAGTGTACACCCTAAAATTGTTTGGCCAGGTGCGTCAAGGAATCTCAAGACACCCCCAAGCTGCGTTTGGACGCAGAGGACTAAAAAGTCCAGATACAAGATCGCGAGACGGCTCAAGTGGTCAGAAGGCAAGCGTATTAAGTATCAACCAATTGGATAAGGCAATCTCAAGGGAGATCAAAACGACTAAAATAGAGCACCCCAAGAACAAATGAGATCGGGTGAAAAATTCCACTCAATCGCCTCCCCACCTATCCCTAACACAATCAAGTTCAACAGCAACTCAAGTCCATCTAGAACAGAGCAACCCGCTCAACCGACGGGTACACAAGGTGAGGAAGGCTTCGTAAACGAAATCGGGGTACACACTCCGTTAGTCGGTCGTCCGGGCGCTAGTGGAGAGCTGGAATCGCATCAGCAGTTTTGCGAATCCCACTCCACCACAGTTCCCATGAGCTAGGGAACTTACTCGCACTTACTACGAATTATTAAAAAACAAAAAAATAAAGCAAAGTTATTTTTTCGATTTTAGTAAGAGCGCTTCCTCAACGCCTTTTTTATGTAAGACGGTAACGGGAACTTATACCGTCACAACTGCCAGTTCATCTTCTCAGATCCAGAGAAGAAGCTTTTTTTCCTTTTCCCCCTCGAAGTATCTAACGTTTAAAACGAGTTGACGATCCTTTGGCTCTGCATCGGGCACAGGCACCGGTATGTATTGAGTTGGCGTAGCTGACGCTACCAGGTCGTGGGCTTGCCCGTGAGCGTTGCCTCATAAACGCATGAAGGCCTCAAGGCGAGCATTGAGGACGTATGGACCCTGGGCCAAAAGAGCCTCGATTTGATCGGGCCCAACAACGCAGATAGTTTGTCTAGCGCGAATCATTGCGCTTCATAGAGGTGGTATTAAAGGTGCGTTGTCCTATGTAAAGGATTGACTACCAGTGCTATCAAAATGTAGTGGAGCTACACAGCTCTTTAGTCAGAGGAGTACTTTCAAAGGCTAAAAGCCTTTTAGTTACTGAAGAAATAAATAAAATTTACGGCTATAAGGCACTTAGTTCTACGGAACTAATTATACGATTACGAAGTCTACCCGTTCTAAGGAAGTAAAAGGGACTTCTGGTTTACAAGCAATAAGCTTAAGGGCTCAAAAAACCCAACGCATAGAGTGCAAGAACAAGTTAGAAGCGTATAGATTCGAGGAACCAACGCACGAAGTGCACAAGAGAAACAAGCCAATTCCGGCTTTATCTCTCCGACTCAAAATAAGAACTGATTTATATATGTGCATTAAGGATGTTATAAAGAGTCCAACTCTAAGTACCTTACCTTAGATTAGCTACTTTTATAGTATAATATTAACTAATCTAGTGTAAGGTACTTATAGGTACCTATTATAGTATAATATTATACTATACTAGTATGCCATCGTCTGTATATGGATATGGAATCATCCAATTATCAGTGTATGTTGTCCTTAGGACTACTGTGTGAGGTATGGAGCCAATACCGATAGTATAAGGTATAACTGATACCTTATAGTATTACTCATAATTCCCCTTCTTAATTTGATCGGAGTTAATAATACATTATGTAACAGGGTACCTAGTTACACGTAAACATTAAGTAATATACTTAATGTTTGGTCTAAAAGTATCCATGATTACTTTTGACCAGTCACTTGGGTGCGATACACAAGTGTGATCCACCCTCGTGAATGTGATATCCATTAATGGATTCACATGAGAAGGGATGACGCTAGTTGAAGCTAGGCATCGCGACGTCTCAGAAGGACGTCAGTTGCGATCTTGAATCTAGATTTAAGATCATGCGACAGTATACGCTTCTAATATTATATATATATATATATAGCCAATCAGTAGTTAAAACATATATTTAGTTATAATTAATTAAATATATCTCAGTCTTGAATTTCCTCAAACTGAAGCACCACGCACGAGAAGCTGAAAAGCTTCTACGTGACGTCGGTACCTTCTTGTTAAAAAAGTTCGTTGCACTCTCGCTTAAGCGAGAGGCAACTGGTGGTACGACTGCTTAAGCAGTCGACCAACCTCCCAACCACCCTCGCACGCGAAGGTAAGACGGTATAACCGCTTCCTCGCTTGTGCATAAGGTGTGTGCTCGTAGTACGAGGCATCTTCATAGAAGTGCCCGTCTACACTTGGTAGCACTAGTAGTACTCGTCTCTCTGAGCGTGCGTGTGGTTGACATGGTCCTTAATATGGACTGGAGTGACTTCCCTCACCTCTCCCAACATCATAGGGAGTTGGCAGAGCATATGGCGCAGGGACTTGGTGAACAAGCCCTGGTCAATCTCTTGCATTGTCCTCCTGAGCAACATGTTTCTCAGTTGGAGCAATTTGAGGCGTTTGTGCTCGGACAGCGTAGAAACGCGTCCGAGGTAAACAGCCAAGCCACCGCTGAGTCCATCACTAAGACTCAGGATGAGCTTAGGCTTGAGCAGGCACGTAATGAGGCGCTCAACAGAACTGTTGAGACGCTCTCTGCCCGGCCTGCTCAACCGAGGCCCATTCGGATGGACCCTCCGAAGTTCGATGGAGCTACCCCTCACACGATTGTTCACTGGCTATTAGCAGTGGAGCAATGTGGAGTGGCGCAGCTCATCGAAGACGACACCAGAATGGTAGTCGTATGCCATGTCAAATTTGCGTGGCAAAGCATCAGAGTGGGCTTACTCTGCGCTTATGGCAAATGCCGATGAATTCTCATCATGGAAGATCTTTAAGTCAAAGATTCGCGCCATGTACCAGCCGCCTAACAACGAAGTGTTGCTTATGGCGCGCTTCTTTGGAGCACGACAGGCGAAACGCTCTCTGCAAGAGTTTGTGCAGGAGATGCGTTCGCTGTCGGCGTCCATCAATGGGGAACCGATACCAGAGCGTATCAAGGTAGCCACGTTCATGTATGGACTTAGGCATGGCCCATCGCGTCAGGCCCTTTTCAGAAAGGTGCCGGCGACGATGGAAGAGGCAATTGACATTGCCTTAGTTAAGGAGCAATCCTACAACAGCGCCTCGGCGACAGCCTATTACAGGCCGTCGTCCGAGAAGTCTGATGCCACTCCTATGGAGTTAGGCAATGCAGATGTGATCTGCTACAAGTGCGGCAAGCAAGGCCATATGATGGCTCGCTGCTATGCCAAGGTAGCTGCTGGTGCTAAGGCATCCAGCAAAAGGTCTCCCAACCCGAAGGGAGGTGCGACAAACCAGCGTGCACGACGCACGGGTTCAGCACCTGCCCAAGATGGGTCGGGAAATGCGGGAGCGCAGTAGGGGCGGGATGCCCTACTGTCGCGGACTCTGAAGCTACCCCTAAGTTCAGAGTGATCGAACAAATGGGTAGCATAGTCCCTGAGGTTCCGAAAGGTCGGACCTCAACCCTTTTGGTCTATAGCGCTCGAGTACGAGGCTATGACCAAGTGATGACCCTTCTCGTGGATTCGGGTGCATCACAAAACTTTGTGAAACTCGCGGCTCTAAAAAAGAGACCGGCGAGTTATGAGTCGCTTTGCCAGGATGGCAAGCGAGAAGAGGCGATCGTTCGTTTAGCGAACGGCGCGCTCGTCAAATCGGAGGGAGTTCAAGTTGAACTCGCCTTCAGTTTCAGTGACTTCTCTTGTAAAGAGAAGTTCACAGTGCTAGGTATGGAGAGTCCGTACGACCTCATCCTAGGCATGCCTTGGTTGGCTAAACACCAACCATGGATCACTGGCGTACACACACAGTCGCTAGCTCTACGCAAGACACCGGAAAGGATGTGCTCTTGCGAGAGGCTTATGTGACTGATGCTGTGTCCAACACAGTCGAGGGTGCGATGACGGTATGTCAATCGACACCAGGAACTACCCAGCTCGAAAGGAGTGGTGTAGTTGGGAGTGCACTGGCGGAAAGCCAGGTGACACATATTCCTACCCAGGTCGAAAAGACTGGTGTAGTGAATGGGGCGATGACAGGTAGTCATGCGTCCAATAGTCCTGCACAGAGCCGAGAGCCTGTGGCAGTTGATGGTGGGCTGACAGGAAGTCAAGCGCCACAAGAACCGGCACAGAGCCAAGAGCCTGGTGCGGTTGGAAGGAGTGCGTTAGCTGAGATAGCAACGACACCTTCTTCCAGGTCAAAGGTCGTGGTGACTCGAAGAACGAGCACCAGACGTATTAAGACGATCAAGGGCACGTCGAAACGAGTGACCTTTGGATCAGTCTCGGTCCAAGAGGACGGACCTACGAACGAGTTGTTCGAGGCCGTCGAAGACAAAATGCCGGAGGCATCCTCAGTTGAGGTGCTCCAACTTGTCTTGGCATCTGCCGAGGAGATAGTAAATCTCTCGGAGATGACGTGGGATCTGTTCCTGTCCGAACTAAAGGAAGGAAAGATCCACGAGATAGTCGCACCAGTTCCAGAAGAGAACGTGGTGGACTGTTGCTCTTCATCCACAATGGACGAGAGCGTCTTGGAGACCGACAAAAAGAAACGGTTCGCTCCTCAAGGCTGGGAAGCCTTGAAGGACAGCCCGTTCTATGATGTTCTGTGGAAACACCGTGATGTGTTTCCAGCAGAAGTGCCGAGCCGCCTACCGGCCGATAGGGGCATCAGGCACGAGATTGACCTGGAGCCTGGCACCAAGTATTGTGTGACCAGGCAATGGCCGTTGCCGAAGGAACAAGTCGATTACATCGATGAGTTCTTCGACAAGCGAGCTAAGGCGGGACATGTACGTGAGAGCAAGTCGCCTCACTGCAGCCCGACCTTCTGTGTGCGTAAAGCCACGGGTAGATGGCGCGTGGTTCACGCTTATAATAAGCTGAACACGGCCACCATTCCAGCTCAAACGCCGATCCCGCGGAAAGATGTCTTGTTGAACTCCATGGGAAAGTCAACTATCTTTTCCGCGTTGGATCTGAAGGATGGCTACTATTAGGTTCTCATGAGAGATACCGATGTAGCCAAAACGGCAGTAAGCACCCCAAGCGGTATGCTGTGGGAGTGGCTTGTGATGCCACAAGGGTTGAAAAATGCTCCGGCAACATTCAACCGAGTAGTGGCTCACGTGATGCGTCAGCACCGTGCCTACGCGCCCCATTACTTTAACGATGTATTCGTGCATAGTAGGGCGGAGGACGGTCTGAGCGCGATAGAGTCGCACAAGCGTCATTTAGACGCTGTGTTGCAGACTCTGGGTGACGCCCAATTATACGTGAACTTGCAAAAGTGCGTAATAGGGGTCCCCGAGATACCTGTACTGGGCTGCATCGTAGGTGCACATGGTGTACAAGCAGACCCAGAAAAGGTTAAAACTATAAAGTAATGGCCAGTCCCACGTCATGTGAAGGATCTGCGCCAATTCCTTGGGCTCGCTAATTACTTGCATAAGTACAGCAAGAATTATGCGGAGCAGACCAAGCCGTTGTCTGACCTTTTAAAAAAGGATACAGAATGGACTTGGTCAAAGGAACAAGAAGATGCGTTCACTTCAGTGAAGCAATCTCTTGTAGAGGCACCGGTCTTGGCATTGCCAGCGGATAAGCCCTTTAGCGTCGTCTGCGATGCAAGCAATTTTGCAATCGGCAGCGCGCTCATGCAGAAGGATGACAACGGCGTTGACCGTGTCATTTCTTATCAGTCTCGGCTTTTAAAAGCTGCCGAGCTGAATTACCCTGTGCATGACAAGGAGCTACTTTCAATCAAGTATGCCCTTGTGAAGTTTCGTGTGCACCTCTTGGGCACCGAACCTTTTGTGGTTTATACGGATCACGCATCACTGCGGACCGCTATAATTCACCGCACCTCTCGCCGAGAATGGCAAGATGGCTGACATTCTTCTCTGAATTTAATTTCAAAGTTGAATTTTTGCCGGGTAAGTCGAATGTCTTGGCTGACGCGTTATCGCGCAGACCAGACTTCGAGACAAGACACCAGGAATGTGTGTCTCGTGCGAAAGCACAAGTTGAGTCGTCAACATTGGCAGCCATGAAGGCCTACTATGTGACGAGCTCAATGGCCTCCGATATCAAGGAGTGTTACATTCAGGATGAACACTGTCGCCTGCTGTTGGATCATTTTGTTGGACGAAAGGTTACCCTTCCGTCGCACCTCAAAGCGAAGTTAAATCGATTTAGTTACAGTGATGGCCTGCTATGGCATCAACTGTCACCCTGTGATCCCTTGAGAATCTATGTCCCTCATGACACAGATCTCAAGCTGATGATACTTCATGAGTGCCATGATGCGCCATCTAGTGGGCATCTAGGCCGTGAAAAGACATTCTTACGAGTGTCAGAGGAATTTTGGTGGCCCCATGGGTGGCCAACTATATTCGCTCTTGCGAAGAGTGTCAGCGCATAAAGCCTGCACCTTCGAACAGTGCGCCACTGAAGCCACTGCCGATTCCAACTGAATGTTGGAAGTCGGTCAGTTTGGACTTCATGTTTGGCTTACCGCCTGACCATAAAGGCAGGACGGGGCTCGTCGTCTTTGTAGACAGACTGAGCAAGATGGTGCATTTGGCACCATGTAGCACCAAGATCTCAGGAAAAGAGGCTGCCCTCTTGTTCCTGGATCACGTGTATCGACTACACGGGATGACCGAGTCCATAGTATCGGACCGGGATCCGCGTTTTACGTCGGGTTTTTGGCGACATGTGTTCGAGCAGCTGGGTAGCAAGCTCCACATGTCAACCGCTGACCATCCCCAGACCGATGGCCAAACAGAACGGGCCAATCGAGTCGTGGCAGATGTGTTGCGTACAATAGCGACTCCCAAAGAATGGAGCAAGCAATTGCCATTAGTGGAGTTCGCTATTAATAACAGTGTTCACGCCAGTACGGGTGAAACACCGTTTTACATTAACGGACTGCGTCATCCTCGAACGCCAGTCTCGTTTGTACGCAGCACGAGTCTTAGTGGGGGAGGGCCCCTCACTTCGCTCGGTGCAAATGCCAAAGAGGGCCAAGGTTGCCCTAGTGACACTGCTAATTTAGCAGCGGTCACGACACCTATAGGTGTCACAGAGGAGGCACGGCAAGAAATGCCGGCGCTCCTTGAGGATGACACTATAGTGTTATCAACAGCGTCGACCCATGAACGACCTCTTGGAGGCGTCATAGGCGAGCTGGATGCTAAAAGCGTGAGCGAAGCTCAGCGCTTTGTGGATGAGCGATTAGCCATCACACGTAAAGTCCGTGACGCGATGGCAAGCGCACAGGACAAGCAAAAACAATATGCAGACCAGCATGGTCGCAAAAACAACGAACACTTTAGTGTGGGGGACAAAGTGCTATTAAGTACTGCTACCCTACCTAAACATGCAATTTCTGTACTACCTGGTGGTACTATTAAGCTATTGCCCCGGTTCATTGGGCCCTTTACAGTGGTTGAAGAAGTTGGAGACCTAAATTATAGGCTCACTCTCCCACCGTACATGAAGACGCACCCCGTATTTTACGTGGGTCGTCTGAAACGGTATGTTGATCCAGAAGAGATCACATATCCGCATCGATCTAACGAGACCGATGGTGACGCCGACTGTGAGTCGAGCGTCGCGACCGATCAGGCGACGAGGAAGCCGAGAGGCTCCCCGTGTATGAACGAGGCGGTAGAGGACTCGGTGATCGAGGAGGACTCCGCGCTTGACGTGGGTCTCTCATCACCAGTCGCTCTAAGATGTCCAAACGGGTCTTCAGGCGGTCATACCCCTGACGGTCCCTCGTCCTCACATCGCGCAGATCCAAAGTCAGTCGCGAGACTTGACTCTCGAGATCTGTCACCTGTCTCTTCAGCGCAGCAGACTCAGCCTGCGACTGAACAGCAGCAGGGTAGGCAGCCGCGAGTAGGTGGGCGTAATCGCCGCTCATATCGGGCGCCACCTGTGTTGGTGGACACGGAAGGGAATACGCGCTTCCTTGTTGGAAGGCTGTTGGCCCACCGGTTTGTGAAGCGAAAGCTGCAAATCCTTGTCCAGTGGAAGGGTTACCCAACGAGCTTTGACTCGTGGGAGCCTGTGGACGCTTTGCGCGTTGACGTGCCTGGGCTGGTGGCTGCTTATGTGAAGCAGCACCAGCTGTCGTCTTTCTGCTAGGTCCGGAAGAACTAGCAGAAGAAGCGTGGCGAGAATTAATTGGGGGTCGTTTACCGCCCATAATTTCATGCGCACGCTTCATGGCGAAGCTGATTCGCTGCGACCGCTGTTTCGTTGCATCTTCATGCAAGGTAACACGGCGCCGAAGTTCAGCTTCATAGTCGTCGGCTGTTTCGTTAGAACGCAGCACGACTGGAATTGGGAAAGCACGACCAAGTGCTTTGCCCTGCTTTTTCCACAAAGGAAAGACGCTATAGAATCTATGAGCGTCTATAGTGGCACGCTGCAAAAGCGATGCGCTAGACCCATCTGAGTGCATCCACTCAGATGGAGGTGGCATTGGTGGCAAGCCACCACTCACGTAGCCGCCCTCGCGACGGCGGGCTAGTGAGGCCGAAGGTGTACTTGGTGGAGCTTTAAGCTCACACTCACCTGAGTCTGACTCTCCATTATGGATTGTCAAGACATCAGCTTGAGGAGTTACATCTGACTGAGTCGCGACTACTCCTTTCGAAGTAGCTTGCTCAGTCTTAGTCGCTGCGCTCGAAGGCGCAGACGACGAGGCGTTACCTTCGCTTGTAGGAAGCATAGATGCTTCCTCAAGGACGGGTGCCTCAAATGATGGGGACATATGTCCCATCAATGCACTATGCTCATCGCCACTTTGGGGTGATGGCAGTGGTGTGGTCTCATTGTAGTCAACAATGAGAGATGGATCTTCATCCACATTATCGTGAGATGGAAGATCCACCCCAGTGCCTGACGAACTTTGCGACGGCTGCGATAGATCGCGGCGCGTGCGCTTAGTGCTGGACTGCATGGGTGCCTTTGCAGGCGACCCATCAGCCTTACCACGTTTCGGTGGCATGAGTACTGAGCAGACTAAAGCGGCGCGTTTATAAACGGCTCGCCAGTCTCTCTGTCTCTTAGGCGATGTTTTATAAAATGTAAACATCGTTCTAAAACGGGGGATGGTGTAACAGGGTACCTAGTTACACGTAAACATTAAGTAATATACTTAATGTTTGGTCTAAAAGTATCCATGATTACTTTTGACCAGTCACTTGGGTGCGATACACAAATGTGATCCACCCTCGTGAATGTGATATCCATTAATGGATTCACATGAGAAGGGATGACGCTAGTTGAAGCTAGGCATCGCGACGTCTCAGAAGGACGTCAGTTGCGATCTTAAATCTAGATTTAAGATCATGCGACTGGATACGCTTCTAAAGAGTCGCGTATCCGGTCTATATATATATATAGCAAATCAGTAGTTAAGTATATATTTAGTTATAATTAATTAAATATAGCTCAGTCTTGAATTTCCTTAAACCGAAGCACCACGCACGAGAAGCTGAAAAGCTTCTACGTGACGTCGGTGCCTTCTTGTTAAGAAGTTCGTTGCACTCTCGCTTAAGCGAGAGGCAACTGGTGGTACGACTGCTTAAGCAGTCGACCAACCTCCCAACCACCCTCGCACGCGAAGGTAAGACGGTATAACCGCTTCCTCGCTTGTGCATAAGGTGTGTGCTCGTAGTACGAGGCAACTTCATAGAAGTGCCCGTCTACACATTATATGCAGTATAAAAACTTCAACCGTAATAAACTTTCGTATGATGTTACAACCGTCGTGTAATTCCGTTACAATGCAGGGGCTATATGATGCTACTGTGCGCCAATATTGAAAAATTCATCATGCATGGTTTGATATTCTTTCCTGGTCTCTGTGTGAAAGCTCCGGTACTATAGATGTAAGCAATTAATGAAATTGATGGTCCGTTTGTTTTAATTAATCCGACTAATAATTGAGTTGATGAGAAACGGCTTGTCCTTTACATCGCTTATTTACCACCGCTTCTCAGTTTCAGATTCCAGGGACTTCTGTACATATTCTCATCGGTGGCTCTTCATGTGCTACTTGCTATGATTCCCCGTCTTTACCCCCTGGTAAAATAAGTTAATGGGATAACTCCATCCTCTGGAGTTCCCCCTGGTGCCATAGATTAGCACCGACCTGCGTCGTAAGTGGCGCCGGATCTAATCCAACCCAAGGCCCGAAAAACAATGTGGCACACACTACCCTCACTGATATCCCCAACCCTGGTACCAGTGAGTAAGGCCTCTCGAAGTAGCATGAAACCCCAATACAGAATAGTTGGAGCTATCCGGACTGGCTGGAACCCAGAGTATCCGGCAGAAACGCCTGTCCATGGCACGGCACGGCACGATAGCATGGACGACCGGTCAGGGATGTGTAGACCCTGCCGAAGAGGACAGGAACAGGAACCGGCTGAACTTGTAGATAAAAATAATTCCCTCCTATCAACTTAGAGGATAATATCCGCCCATATCAATTGACCACATTGTCAGCGTGGTTTTCGATGATCGAAAAGTTATTAATATGCTTATACAATAGTCAGCTACCGATATCGGAAAGCATGGTGCAAACGATGACCGAATCATCGAAGGCCTGATAGAAGAACACAAGTATATGATCACCAAGATCTCGATTGGCGGCTTCACATGAATTTCCTAGGTTTAACAATGCTCGGTATTTGATGAAAAATTTGTCTTTGTCACGCACGAATTTTTGCACAGCCAGCACTTCGGAGCATCGATCGAGCAGCGCTCGCAGAAGAAGGTCATTGCATATAATACTTTAAACTGCATTATTAATAGCGCGCAAACCTTGCAAGAGCGTTGACGTCGCTTTAACACGCCTTAGTCTTTCGACTGTTTCATGTCGTGCATAAGGCAAACGTGGTGGTACATTAATTGCGCTCCTGTTTACATACAGAGCCAACACCATATTTTTTCGAATATGACACACGATTTAGCGAAGCCGTAGGAGCAAACGTATTGTGTGGTGCTTAAGGATTCTCAACTAACCATGTGCGACACAGTCCAAGGCGAACATATGCTACATGGATGATGCGTCGAGTATTATCTGTAATGATGCTATCAAATGCTTAGCAGTAGCCGCGCGTCTGAGTGCTGGCGTTTTTTTGCAGTCATCAAGCGAATGACTACTGGAAGCTTACTGTATCTAAATGTCTAACCGCACAGAATGTTTCGGAGTTGTAAGACGGTGTAGAGTTTTTTCGTTGTCCTTTTCTGCATGAACAACAACGTGTAGTTGGTGCCCACTACTTTGTCGATGATTTTTCTAGCTGCTTCGTCGAAACCAGTTGTTAAACAATTCTTTTTTTGCAGAAGAAAAGTGCGAAACTTGTCGTTCGTTCAACTACCAGACGAGACGCACCAGCTCAACCACTTCACATAGCTGCAGGAGGACAGACCTGGATCACGGGCTATTTGCCCGCTACGCTTCACAATCACCAGACTTGACAAGTTTTCGCGACAAATGTTGTGTCCTGTTTGCACCGACATGTTGTTGTCCCACGTCGACCACGAACGTTGCTGCGCCAACCAGTGGAGCCATTCCGTGCCGGTCCTGGTATGTCCGTTCTAACCATGTTGACTCGATCTAACACACACCTCGCACGTGGTCGTGACAACAATTGAACATTCGCGCACGGATAGATCTTGTATTACGAAAAGGCTTGATCATCGATCGACCGCTTTGATCTCACTTTCCAATTTTCTGCCTGCGCAACACCAACCGATTCACAGCAACCACATGAATCTCTTCGTCCTCTCATTCGCTACTCTAGCGTCCTTCGTCGCCATCGCTAATGGTGCATCCATGATCCGTCAGGAAGCCGAGGCCGGCGACCCCTGCAACCTCACTGGCACTTACCAAGTTGGTACAGACATCTCTTCTTGTAACAAAATCACTATTGGGCCTCTCACCGTTCCTGCCGGAGTGACGTTGGATCTAAACAGAGCCAAGAACGGCGCAACCATCAACTTCGTTGGCGTCACAACGTTTGGGACCAAATCGTGGCCCGGGCCACTCGTCACGCTTAGCGGAAACTCTCTTAATGTCATGGGGACTGGTACGCTGGACGGCCAGGGACTTTGGTACTGGAAGAAGGGTACATCGATCGTCCGCCCGGTTTTCTTTAACGTACAAAGTGTCATTGGCTCGACTATTTCGGGCTTCACAATCAAGAATTCACCGTACCGCACATTCAGTATCTTTACGTCTCAGCACACGACTTTAAGTGGACTCACACTCGACTCTACCGCTGGCAATGGACTCGCAAAGAACACCGATGGCTTCGACATGTCGCTGAATGAACACGTGACGATTACGGGTAACCACATTTACAACCAGGACGATTGTCTCGCTATGCAGTCCAGCATCAACACCACATTCAGCGGTAACACCTGCAGTGGTGGTCACGGTATCTCGATCGGCTCCATTGGTGGCAAGGTGGTTGACAAAACCACGACGGTGTCCGGCCTTTATGCTGAGGGCAACATCATCATCAACAGCGATAACGGCATCCGCATTAAAACTGTGACTGACACGGGCATGGATAGTGGACTGGTGACTAACGTGAAGTACATCAAGAACGTGCTACAGAACGTGAGAAATGCCATCGCCATCCATGGGGACTACAGCAGACCACTTGGAGCCTACAATGGTATTGCCGACAGTCTGGTGACAATTTCGGATGTCACGGTGGACGGACTCACGGGCTCGGTCGACCAGAAGTACGATATCGTTGTCAACCCGAGGGTAGTGTCGAGGTGGACGTTCAGCAATATCAAGTTGTCGGCCCCGGTGGGTACTTGCAAGGGTCAGCCAACTGGCATCTGCTTGAATGCTGTTTTGAACGTATAGAAGTTCATACACCTTTGCAAAGAGCATAGCGGCGTAGTTTCTCTTTTTGTACTCACTAGCGGAAAAACGTAAAGCATCAATGATTTCTGGCTTTAACAACTACAACGCACACTTGCAAATGCGTCACATGTTTTACATATTCTAACCGTCCAAAGTCCTCTACTGTATGAGGCTACTGTCGACCGTAGGATGGCATTTGACTACAAAGGAACCAAGGGTTAAATGTCGAGACCGCTAGGCAAACCGGCAAGTGTACATTTGACCATCGCGGTCACGTCGATTCCCGCGATATTCCAGCGCGACACCACATTCGGGTTAGCCGTAATGTCGCATAGATTTCTACCCGAACCAGTAAGACCTGAAACCGTAACATAATAATTTTCCGGTCCAATGGAGTTGCCCCAATGTTTGAGGCGCAACAAGCTCTGCCTTACGTCAACGTTCACTTAGGGGCACAGGTAGCACCACTCGGTCCGGTTGATCTACAGTATTCACTTTCAATCTACCGCCGACAAGCACAACCGACTAATCTCCACCCTTAACAGTGAGGTACGCTTGTTCTGCGTTGGAGGAAGTGACCGGCCCATGTTTGTGCTCCAAAAGTAATAATGCCACGAAACTAGATGATGACACCCTTTTTAGCCTTGCCGACACACGAAGTGAATCGAATTACAAGACGAAAGACCAGTTGCCTTCGTGTATGTACCAGTGAGATTACACCCAATGCTGCTGGTTGGGAAGCGCTGCTAATGCTGCATCGGATTTTTCTGCTCGGTGTTACTATGTCTATGATCGTGTTCTTGGTCTTCGTGCGTAGTATGAGCGACCCGTTGGTGGGTAGTGCGAGGGCGACGATTGCAGTGACAAAGAGCATCATTGTATGTGTTTGTGGCCTCTGGTGTCATTGAAGGACAAGGATCCTGGGATTGGAAACAAGGCCGGTCAATAATTTGTCCGGACTTCTTTTGTTTGCAGAACGTACGGTGTCCGATATCACCATCAAGAACATGCCCTTCATACTTCAGCGTCGTCACCTGCAAGAACACGACTCTCACTGCTCTCACGATCGACGCTAGAGCAGGGTATGGTATCGCCAAGAACACGGCTGGTTTTGGCTTGACCATGAACGACCATGTCCCGATTACAAGAACACGATCTACAACCAAGACGATTGTCGTTCGATGCAGTCTAGTACCAATACCGTCTTCAGCGACAACTATTGTTGTGGCGATCATGGTGTTTCAGTCGGATCTTGTGGTGGAAACTCCGCTGACAAACAACGATTCAGGGTTTGCTTGTCGAATGCAACACTATTGCCGACAGTGAAAATGGTCTCCGCGTCATCGGTCTCAAGGGTATGTGGTGTGGTGTGAAGCTACGTGAATCATCAGCTCAAGACAGTGAAGAAAGCCGTCGTTATCCACTCGGACTACAGTAGGACCAACGGAGGCCTACAGAGTGCCGCCAATAGTCAAGTTCAGATCACTTTCTTCTTTAATCTGTTCGAGCGTGACACATGTAACAAAAAGGCTAACGCATTTTATGCTTGATATGATCAATGTCTCGACAAGATATCGTCGACCTATTTTCGACCAGAGGTCGGGCTGACCTAGCAAGTTGTCAGGCTACACTGCAGGCGTACCCGTGGTGTCGTTTTCTGGTGGATTTCGTATGTTTCTTGTGCTGGTTTTGTGACAAGCACAACGTGACGCAAAAGGTGAAGGTCATGTTCGCGATTTTGACCTGTCTGTGGCATTACCGCATGGTTTTCGCGAAAGGGAGACGGTGTCCTTGTGTGTTTGTTGCGGATCGAAATCCGGCTGAACGTGCAGCTTATCGAAACGGCTTTGTGCAGACAGCTAGCAACTTAAAGCTGGACAACGTGAGGTGGTTGAGTCGTTTAACGCTCTGCAAGTTGAGCCGGATTGTCATTCCGCAACGCAAACACACGGTGCGTGATGTGACCTCTTGTTGTTGTCACGTAGATCCTGACTTTGACTGCTCTGGCTGCGTTTCTCTCATACAAAACGGAAAGACTAAACTTAGAGCGATGAGAAAGGAAGCTCTCTATCGATGAGGTCGCTCTTCAGTTTTTTTTCTTCTTCTCTATCATCCTGTATTTGTCTTTTCTTCAGCTTTCACGTTGCAGCTTGTAAAGAATGGTAGCGTACATTTTGCAAATGGAGAAGAAGAGCTTACATGTAAGGGATGCAAGAAAGAGTTTTTCGTTCAAATCATCCATCACTACGAATGTTGTACTACACCTTCCCTTTATTGCATCATATCTTTTATACAATAAAAGAATACTGTCCGTCTGTCTGTTTGATCCTTTTCCGGCATTCGGATTGGCTACTTTTGCATTATTTGCTAATTTTGGATTGGCTGATATTGCATTTTGGCTTATTTTGCAATGGCTGACTATGCATTTTTGTATTGATAATTATATCTGCAGATCTCCATAACAGAGTCTCCATAGGTCGTGCTTCTATCTATAAAACGGATATACGAAACGATGGCACACATACGTGTTTAAATTCATCATAACATATTGCTATATCAAACACAGCATTTCTTAGATATATTAGATGAGACACATGCTTTACAATTATTCCAAACATTGGTTCAGTGCTTTAATAATACAGTAAAAAGTTGGCAACAGCAAGCTTAGTGATCATATTAGAGTGGATGCAGTTACAAAAAGCAAATCGACTCATATGTAATGCATCATACTTATTCATTTACCTGATACAACCGGATAATCTTCATTACGAAACGACGGGTTTACATTCACCTTCATACCCATCAGTTTCACTTATATGACCGTTTATACGAAAATCGTAAGGTATACTTCGCTAACTGTGTTCGTAGGAACGACAGGTACATATTGACCTTCGAAACGACAGGTACACATTGACCAGCGTCGACAGGTAGACCTTGCCTTTCATACTTATTGACTTCATATGTAGCAATTACCTGACTCAACCAGAATAATAAGTGTGTACGAAGATTATCTAGCAGATGTTTGCTCACCATGTCCGTCGGAACGACGAATGACCATCCCTATTTTTAAGATATATGGTGGGCCAGGGTTCTATCAGCGTAGATTCGCGCACCTATCCGTCGGAACAACGGGCACTATCATAAAACTGCACACAGGCAAAAAGGTGTATTAAAAATTGATTGACACACATAGAAACAATTATATTTGGTCCTGTATACATATTTAGATCTATAGATTCGATCCGCACGCTACTATCCGTCGGAACGACGAGTGCACATTCATTCTCATACCCATCACTTTACCTTAATATTGTGAAGTAAAATGTTGGGCTCGAAGGTCAAAAGGCAAACTTTAGTCACCATGTCCGTTAGAACGACGAGTACACATTGACCTTCATATCATCCTTTCAATGTAGTCAACCAAATTGGTAAAACGATGATGTAAAGGTCAATATATTATAGGCGTTGACTCGCGCACTATATCCGTCGGTATGACGGGTATACACCCTAGCAAATCGCGGCGTTTAACATGCCAATATATTCTACTTTGCACCATCAGAACGACAAGTGAACACCATAAAAGAGGTGGGTAGATGAAACATGGTGTAATCGTCTATCGATTCACTAGGGTGCAGGCATCATCTAAATGTAAATGACTATATATTAACGCGTTCCAGATATTCGTCAATTTGTACCCGGTGGAACGACGGGTTTACATTGGCCTTAATACACATTGTCTTTAATACCTATTAATTTACCTAATTTAACCTGATATTCTAAGCAGAGTGATTGACCAGTATACATGTACTGTAGGGGTATACGACGGGTATAAATATTATTTATAGAAAAAGTAGTAATAGTACTCCTATCGAACTGTCGTGAGAAAATGTCTTCCCAAGTCGTATCGAAATGATTGTTTTAACGTCAAAACTCTGAGCCATTCGTTAAAAATCCTCCCACTCCCCAAATTACCGAAGAAATGCTGTGTAGTTTAAGTGGACAAGTGCCGATCGAGCCCATCGTATCGCTCAAATCAGGTCACGTCTTTGAGAAACGTCTGTTGCTCAAGTACTTGGCCCAAAATCAGCAACGCTGTCCCATTACAAGTGAAACACTCGACGCTGAACGTGACTTACTGGCCTTGCAAACCGTTAAATCTTCGTCTTCCTTGGTCAACATTAATGCGACATTCACACCCGAAGCTGGTAGTATTCCCCAGCTGTTATCGACGTTCCAAAATGAATGGGATGCTGTAATGCTTGAGACGTTTACGCTCAAGCAACATCTCGAGCAAACACGACAGGAATTAAGTCACGCATTGTATCAACATGATGCAGCGTGTCGTGTTATTGCGCGATTAAATGCAGAGAATGCGACGCTCAAGGAACGAGTGACACAACTTGTAGCAGGTGAACAAGCGGACGTGGATATGAACGTCACATTTGAAACTCTTGGACCTGAAGTACTGGCTACTATTGAAGCTAAACAAAAGGAATTAGCCAAGAGACGTAAAGATTTTAAAAAGAAGGACGGACCACACCGAGCGGCTCTTCTTAGTGGATTACAAAGCTGGAAAGTGGTCTCAAGTCATACGCTACATGGCTCGGACAAACCGGGTGTCACGTGTGTAGCTATTGACACTCAACGTCCGACAATTGTAGCTACAGGAGGAGTGGACAAACAGGCCAAGATCTTTGATACGGACAAGCAGCAGCTTGTGGCGACGTTGACAGGTCATACGAAAAAACTTAGTCATGTTGAGTTTCACCCGACTGTCGACATGGTGCTTACGGCCTCGTTCGATAAGACAGTAAAGCTCTGGACCCGACAGGAAGAAGGATATAGTGTGGGATACACACTTGACGGTTTTGCTGATGCTGTCACAAGTGCTTCAATCCATCCGACGGGCAACTATGTGCTGTCTGGATCGCTAGATGCTACATGGGCTATTCACGACGTACGTCGTGGCCAGCTACTCTCGCGCTACTCATTGAACGGCGAGTTGGCGATGCCTGATGCAGCGGTGAACACATACAAGAAGGCGGTTAATGAGACGCGTTGTGCACGTTTTCATCCAGATGGTGGCATCTTCGGTACGGCAGCCAAGAGCAAATTGGTGCAAATGTGGGCGGTAAACTCGCTGTCGAATGTGGTGACGTTTGAGGGCCATGCGGCACCTGTTTTGGCTTTGGCTTTTTCGGAGAATGGGTACCACCTTGCATCAGGAAGCGAGGATGGTGTGTTGAAGCTCTGGGATCTACGCAAGGCCATGAGCTTTTACGAGCTGGACTTAAAGAAAGAGGAGCCAAAGCTGAAGCTTGGGGCTATCCATGCAATTAGCTTTGATGCCAGCGGATCATACCTTGCGGTGGCGAGCGCACAAAGTGTACAGGTGCTGGCGGAAGTAAGTAAAAACCGCTGGGAGGTGGCCAAGTCGTTTAGCGACCACAAGGCCGCAGTCACGGGCGTCCAGTTTGCACAGGACTCGAGTTTCCTCGCTTCCACATCCATGGACCGCTCGCTGAAGATTTACCGATAAGCGAGCACGAGAAGCGATGTCGTTGCTCGGAAGTCGGCCACCCATCATGGAACAACAGGTTAAGAGACTTAGCGACGATCCTGCCGAAAACAAGTGAAGCAGGTGAGAAGGTGGCTCCTTTTTTCGACGCTGCAGTGTCATTGCTAACGCATGCTCCTTTAGTTCATTTCAGTAGTACAGCTGCTTCAAGAATAATGCAATGTGCTGGATAAAGGTTTCGACTGCTTGTTGATAAAAAGGCAACAACTCGGTTCATGAATGAAGTTTTACATGCCAATAAATGGACCAAAGGATCACCATATATTCAGGCGAAACCTCTTGCACTTAAGGTCCCTTCGTCGGCTTTTGGCGGCTCCTCTTCGAGCTATCTTGGCCTCAAATTATGCTTCTGTAGCACTTCGTCGTCCCATCCTTGCTGGGGAGAGAGAGAACAGATTGTCTATCTACTGGTTAGTGCTAGATCTCTGGTAGGTAGTTAACCACACTAGCAACGTATTGGTACCAAAAGTTTAGCTGTCCGATGGCGTGTCGATATCGTGTCCATAGCTGGTGTTCCGTTACTGTAACGGGGTTACACGACGGTTGTAGCGTCTTTCCGAGAATTTACGCTTAAACTCTCCTTTGTATTGCATATAATGCATTATTATACTTCTCGTTAGAGAGGTATTAAGTATGAGCGTTAAGATACGGTATTCGGTAATACCGTATCTTACCGATTGGGATTCGATAAATCGATAACGCTCCATTAAGTACATCATACACAGATGTTAAGACGATACGTCGTTCAATAGCAAAGTCTGCATATAATAACTACTATTATAGTAATTAATCTAGTGTAGTGTACTTAAAGTAGGACTATTCATAATATCTTAAAGCATAAACAAAATCAGTTCTCCTTTTGAGTTTAAGACCACAAGTCGTTCTGACTTGTTCTCTTGTGCACTTCGTGCGTTGGTTCTCTGAACCTCTAAGCTCTAGCTTGTTCTTGCACTCTGTGCGTTGGTTCTCTGAACCTTAAGCTTATTGCTTGCTGACTAAGAGTCTCTCCTACTTCCTTAGAACAGGGTGACTTTACGTCGTTTAATTATTTCCTTAGAACTAAGTGGCTTTTAGCCTTAACTATATTTAGTTCTCTAGAACTAAGAGGCTTCCAGCCGAAAGTCTTCCTCTGGCTAAAGAGCTGTGCAGCTCCGCTACACTTGGTAGCACTTGTAGTCAATCCTACATCTGAGTCTTTAAAGACTGACCCTCTGTGAGGATGGAGAATCAAAATTACCTCTCTGAGGCACAACGACTCGCCTTAGATAAACTTTCGGCGTTCGTCGGGCCCGATCAAATCGAGGCCCTTTTAGCGCAAGGCCCCGAGGTTCTAAATGCTCGTCTTGAGGCCTTTATGCGTTATGAAGCAACGCTCATCGGGCAGGCCCATGACCAGGTAGCGTCAGCTGCACCTACACAGTACATTCCGGTACCTGTGCCCGATGCAGAGCCAAAGGCTCGTCCACTTGTTTTAAACGTAAAGACCTTCGAGGGGAAGGAGGGAGAAAATCTTCATCTCTGGATTCGAGAAGTTGAAATGGCAATGGATGCCGCCATGCTTGTATCAGATAAGCAACGAGTTGGCTTGGCCATTTCGAAGCTCGGTGGAAGAGCTAGAGAGTGGGCTCTAACGAGCGATTTCTCTGTATTCCCCACATGGGAAATGCTTAAAAAACAATTAACATGTGTGTTTGCACCGCCTAATCAGGCTTATCGTGTGCGATCACGTTTCTTAGCTACCCGACAGGGTAAGAAAGAATTGTCGGACTATGTCCAAAAGTTGAGAACTCTCATTGCTGCTATGCAGCAGGACCCACTGGCAGAGGAAGTCCGAGTAACCATTTTTATGGAAGGACTTCGCACTGGGGTCGCCAGGACGGAAGTTTTCCGTGTCCAGCCTTCGACTTTTCGAAGAGGCAGTAAGCGTAGCGTTTAACGCTGAATTTAATTTTAAATCTGCTCGATATGGTCTGCCCTGGTATCAATCAAATACCTCTAATAGGGCGGAACCCATGGATCTCAGCCATGCTGAAGAAGATGAGCTTCAAGCTGCTGAGCAGCAAGGTAGCATCCGTAGATGTTACATGTGCGGAAGCACTAGGCATCTCCGCCCTAGCTGTCCGTTGCGAAAGCAACGTTCAAATCGGCAAAGCCGAAACCCTGCTCCTAGCCAAAAGGCGAGCACCGCATGGGAAAACGTCAACTCCCAGTAGGAAGAACTAAGTTCTGTTGGATCTTTAGGAGGTAAAGGTAAACAGGGCTTAGCCCCAGGTGGTTCTGTGGATGCTCCCATAGAACAAGATTACAAGCCAGGCTTGTTGGTTGTGTCGGCAACCGTTAAGGATTTGAATAATAATGATCAATTCTTAATTGACTCAGGGGCGTCAGGGAATTATGTCCGACGTCGTTCCCTTGAAGGGAGTCAGCTATATGCTGAGGCGCTAGAAGCGCAAGAGGGTGACAGTATAACCGTGCGTCTCGCGACCGGTGTACGTGTCACCGTTCCTAAAGTTCCGTTGAACTTAGGTTTGAAGTTCTTAGACTTCAATAGCGTTGAACGCTGTCTTGTCCTAGATCTGGACTCGAGATATGATCTCATTCTCCGTATGGCCTGGCTGGAACGCCATGAGACATGGATCGATTGGAGATCCAAAACTTTAGGCGCAACGCGCAATGTTCCTAGCGAAGCTTTGGAGAGTCATGAACCCACCTTTGCAAGGAAACAGAAGCGCTATTGGCAGGAGCCACTAATTGAGTCAGTTCGTGTGCTGGACATTGGAGTGGATGAGTTGATAAACTCCGATGTCAACAATAATAGTGTCGAGCAGAGCTCAATGACACTTAGTGGAACGGCACGTACTCCGTTGAGTGATACTCAAAGTAATATTGAGACACTGGACGTCGGTAATGACATCGGCTCTCGTATAGAGCAAGTGAAGGTCGATGACCTTGTTAGTAATATTAGCTGTAATTGCGATTTACTGGATGTCGGTAATGACATCGGCTCTCGTATAGAGCAAGTGAAGGTCAATGACCTTGTTAGTAATATTGGCTGTAATTGCGATTTACTGGATGTCGGTAATGACATCGGCTCTCGTATAGAGCAAGTGAAGGTCGATGACCTTGTTAGTGAGGTCACTGGTACTAGTGACCCACTGGATGTCGGTAATGACATCGGCTCTCGTATAGAGCAAGTGAAGGTCGATGACCTTATTAATTAAGCCACTGGTACTAGTGACTCACTGGATGTCAATACTGACATTGGCTCTCGCATAGGGCAGGTTAAGGTCAAGGAATCTATTGACCTTGGGGATGATGGTATAACAAGTACTTTTAATGGTACGGTCTCATCAATGAGACGGCAGCGTCGCCAGATGGCGGCTGCGAGACGCAAGGCGTCTGTTTTATCGCGTAATGATATCAGTGACCAGTTGTATACCCTGGTCAACGTAGTGACAGGTGATGTAGATGGTGAGGTTGACCTTGAGGCCCTCCCATCATTAAATGCTCTCTTAGAGCTAGACGAAATGTCTGTGGATGAATTTCATCAGGACTTGAAGGCAGGTGCTCTATCCGATATGGTGGTCATTCGACCTAACCTCGAGCTGAACTCATCCTCGCTTGTCGATGAGACAGTCCTTGAAGATACAAAAGCGGCACTAAGTGCAAGTAGTGGGGCATCTATTCTGAAGAGCCCTTCAGATCCCTATTATCCTTTAGTTAAGGAATTCCAGGACGTGGTGTGTCACGATCCATCGTCGGTTCTACCACCTGATAGGGGTGTACGTCATGGAATTGACTTGGTTCCTGGAACCAAATACTGTGTTACACGGCAGTGACCTTTACGCACAGAACAGTGTGACGTCATTGACGAGTTCATTCGTGCAAAGCACGCGGCGGGCATGGTGCGCGAGAGCAAATCTCCGCACTCGACACCCACTTTCTGTGTTAAGAAACCGAATGGTAAATGGCGTATTGTTCATGCTTATAATAAGCTCAATGCAGCCACTATACCTGCACAGACGCCAATACCTCGAAAGGATGTTCTTCAGAACAATATGGTCGGTTGTACCATGTACAGGGCGCTCGACTTAGTCGAAGGTTATTACCAATTGCTCATGCGCGCTAGCGATATTCCGCTTACTGCTGTTAGTACTCCGAGCGGTATGCTCTGGGAGTGGTTGGTGATGCCCCAGGGGCTATCTAATGCTCCGGCTACGTTTAACCGTTTGGGGACGCAATTGATTCAACCCCATCGAAATTATGCACAGACGTACTTTGATGACATTTTTGTCCATAGTCGAGCTGAACATGGGTGGTCAGATATTAAGAACCATATTGTTCATTTACGAGCTGTGCTCGAGTGCATGCGCACTAATAAGATATATGCTAATGCATCTAAGTGCATCTTCGGGGCCGAATAGATTCCCTTTCTAGGGTGCTTCATTGGGAAACGGGGCCTACGGGCGGATCCCGCCAAGGTCAAAGCCATAGTCGATTGGCCTGTTCCACAGTCTCAGAAGGACTTGCGTAAATGGCTTGGCCTTGCCAATTACTTACACAAGTACAGCGATAATTACGCTGATATGGCTCGGTCGTTATCCAATCTCCTTAGAAAGGGTGTGGAATGGTGTTGGCATGCCGAACACGAAGATGCTTTTCAAGCGGTGAAGGCGAGCCTTCTACATGCTCCTATTTTGGCTTTGCCAGATCCTGATCGACCGTTTAGTGTCGTCTGTGACGCATCGGATTTGCCATTGGCAGTGCTCTGTTACAAGCAGATGATGAAGGCCGTGAGCGTGTAGTCGCTTTTGAATCTCGCCAGCTGAAAGCTGCAGAAAAGAACTATCCAGTTCATGACGAAGAGCTACTTGTGATTGTGGTGGAGTGGATTCTCAAACAACGTAGGAGATCCACAAACACACACAGCGCCGGACTGGCGACTTACGGAGGGGGTACCC